TGGAACCGACCTTCGAATCTCTTCACCCAACACTTCTACTCGAAATGGAAGTAATCCCAACAATTAAATTTAATGCCACCGCTTGTCGGTATCGGCTTTACAGACTGACGCGGACTCATGATTTATGCAATCGTAATGCTGTGTGACTCGAACTGGCCAGAATAGTTTGTTTTTTATTTAATTTTCATTAAACACATGAGGATTCAAGGTTCTACACTTACTTTCATCTTGCGAGATTATCTACCTTGTTTATATCTTTTTTCATAATTTTCCAGCCAAGGCCCATCCTAGAGGCACTAGACGCTGAAATACTTCGCTTGCACAGCTAGCATGGTCGCTATCGCCAAATCATTCAATTATTTTCATAAATAAAACGTTTTGGATTCATATTAATTGGTTACTTCACAAAAATCAACACCGAGTTCGTGTCGCTTGCCTTGCTGTTTGCTAAACCAATGCCTTTTCCCTTCCTAAGTTTGCCGCAATGAAACAGCGCAGCGGTGAATAACAGGGTTCGAAGCAATTTTTTAAGACTAAACAGATGCCAAAAGCTGTACTGTATGTATCCAACTGGCTTTATGCTATACTTCGCGGCTTCGTTGTCCTTAAAAATTGCGCTGAGACTGTCTCTGGAAAGACCACTTGAGTGTAGAAAATTTAAGGACGCCAAGCAAACCCCGCGTAGAAGATTCCTTTTCCACATGAAGCCTCAAATTGGCCAATAGTTTAAAGCTACTTCAGCTTTGTCTTAGTTACCTTGCCTTACTAAGCCACCAAGTCAATATCGGGATTCCAGATCGCATCTGAGGCTGGAAATGGAAGTTTAATATTTTCTATCTTTCTTTAAACCTTAGTGCAATATCAGGGGGCGAAGGATTGCGAGGATTCCAGAGGCATCGTAGGTGATTATTCTCATCCAAAGAATTTTAATCAGCGTCACAACCAAAATACTATATTATCCCATTTGCTGTGACAGTAGCCCGCTCGGGTGCTTTAGTGAGGTGCACCACTAGCACAAAATTTATTATATCATTCAATGCTGGGAACGCCAATTTTCCTATCATATGCGTCTAGCCCTATTAATTATGAGGCGTACATGAAACGGAGAAAAGCACACTGCTTTGATTCCAGCAGCTTCCATTCTCTCTCCCAATCAGCTTTAATTTAGCAACGAATCCATGCACTTTACTCAATTTTCAACTTTGCTCGAGTTGTATAGGAAGATAATATTAATTGTGCTATGACTTTCCATTTCAAAGGAAAAGTTGGTGGGAAGAATTTTGTGTAATGGCCGAAACAGTACCGTATAGTGAAGATTTCTTCGCACAATCCAATAGCCTTCATTCATAAGCAATTCTCCTGTTTCCGATAAGACCGGATTACTTCTAACCAACTTTTCCTTCGAAATGAAAGGTAATGTCACAATATATCACTAAGGAATTCTTTGAAACTCAGTTTTTCTGCATATCATTAGTGTCGGTCTGTCATCCAAATCGCTAATACAGACTTGAGTGGTGATGAATTCGAATCTTGATTTGTATCAAAAACCTCAATTAAGCCCAGCGATCAGTATTGCAAACTTCTACCGAACGCGGAACTTGTTGGTACGCAAATATCGGCCAAGCTCTTATTCGTCTTTTTTGGCCATTCACTCTGACCCCCAAAGAAATGAAGAAAACAAGTAAGGAGAAGGACTAGAGCGGCTTGTGAGCAGCCAACAACACGTCAGCAAGGAAATGAGCTTTTAGTGTAAACCGGTCAATGAAAATAGACGGTATGGATTAAGTGATATTAATTATACAATTGAAGTACAAGATCAAACAGTGAAGGAAGGAGAGGGAAACAGCCTGAGTTAAATGAGTTTCTCTGATAAGCTATGCATCAGCTCAAGTGATTGAATGGTGGTAATGTGAAAAGTTGCCTAAGCCATCAGCCCTGGAATTTTGCGCAGCATGGCATCTGTTTTTACCATCAACGATGATATCTCATCCATTTTATCCGAATACAATTTTGAACTGGACTCACTTTCGTCTCGGTCAGCAGCCTCTACTTCGCATTTCCTCTGCCTGTTCTGAATTTCGGCCTTGCTTCTAAGGCGTGCGAGTTCTGCCACGCTGTCAGCCAATTCGACGAGCGGACTGAAGCTGTCATTCGTACAGTTCATCAAATACATGACAGCGGGACTTTCAGTAGTCTTGGTTTTCGCATCGCCTGTCACCTCAGAGTCAAGTTGCAACTGAGCGACGCGGTTTATAACCCACTTGGCTAGGTCAGCTACAAGGCGGCCGGGAACGCTGACTGGGCAGCCGACTAAGGCCTGTGCGAGCAAGCAAACAGCGGCATGTGCAACGACAGGTGCAGAAATGCTAACATCGGAGTATGGGTCAGAGAGGATATTCTTGACAGCCTCGGAGATAGGAAGTTCCATCTGAGTTTTTTAGGAGAAAAGGGGGATAATAGACGACAATGATAAATGACTGGATTCAATTTTAGGCCTTGATTTAGCGCGCACTTTCCATATCTAATAAACCGAGTGTAGATGGGTGACTACCCGTATGGTATTCGTACTAATTGGCTGCTATCGGGAGAATCTGTCAAGCTACACGCCTCCAATCATAGTCATCGTGGGCCAAAATGGATGCCAGTATATAGTGTACATCTTTAATACAAATGTATAAGGTTCTGTTCTATAAAGTCTTTCCTGAGGCTTCTTTGACACTTGGTACAGAAGGAATAGTTTAGATAAGATAATGGAAAGATACTTGATATATTTTAGTTTCACAAGCTTTTCCGTCCATCTGGTACAAACTAGCGAAATGATTCTTTTGAAGTTACCAGGTTCCTACATACATTAAATGATAGACAAATGAAAAATTCAGCCTAAAACCGATGTTTTAAGAAATAAAGAAGTGAGACCAAAGCCACTAGAATAATGTTGGAAATGGAGTCCTATAATCTTAAATAATTTTTTCTCAAATCTCGACAGCAGATCCGTTACAGCTAAATAAATAATATCCGTACGGACGTGTAAATGTGATATGTATAAATTACCATAAATATCATGATTAATTGGAAAAAAGTTATGATTTTTCACTAATCCTAATAGTAATTAAACCATAACCTAAACGAAAACAAATAAATAAGAGCCAGATGAATAATATATGTATGGACACTATACAAGTCATTAAAAGCTTCACTGAAAGCCTGTGGGCAGTTAGGTTTGCCGAATCCATCAAAAATTAAAAAAACTATACTTGTAAGGCCCATTCCCGTGCCCTGCTTTTCTCTTCCTTTTTCCGTTTATTATCGGTTCTGCGCAGGGCACAACACAAGTCCATGCCGAGCCCACATGAAGCCAAGCTGTCCACATTTGTGTAGAAGTGATGATGCGATAGAATAGAGTCTTTTGATCCATTTACGGTGGTCGAAAGAATCAAGTCAGGCTCGTGCGTGCAAATGCGCAGCAGACTATTGAGTTGGGAGAGAGCCAGAGCTGCTTTTTGCAGAGACGGAGAAGTGGAATCCTCGAGTAGTTTGACGAGGTGGTTACGCTGGTCAGAAGTGATGCTATTCGGATTCGAAAGCTGATCAATCATGTAGCCTGACTTGTAAAGTTGAACGAGACTTGTAGGTTTATCTTAAAACAAGAAAGAACTAGGAGTTTGAATACTGATAGGTTAAGGCAGTTAATAATTTGTCCCGAATGAAAATATAATAATTTATTGAAAAAAGTTTGGTACTTTACTACAACGAATAAATGGAATGAATTTTGCAAGATGATATAATATTAATTATACTGATACACTGAAGTACTCAGACGTTTAGGAAATGTGAAGCATGACTCTACAGACTATCAGTCCGTACAGCACCTATGGTGAGCGATGATGACTAATGTTCTTATTCGAGGTCTATATATATTTTCGTAACCTACGCATTGAGCGTAACATACCGGATTAATAAAAAATGATGGATAAGTGATCTGAAACCAGGACGAAAAAACAAAATGTGAATTAGAGTAAACTTGCCTACAATCGAAAAATTTAAGGCATCCCATTCATCAGCTTCGCCTTTATCCAGCATTTGATCATCTCCTTTCTTTTTAACACTAAATCGGTTCTCAGTGACATTGTAACCAATCTTGGCTGAGCTGCTAGCCTTTGGCGAGCATCCAATTTGAGGCGGATTAGCGTTTGGCCACTGAAGATCCTCATCTCTAGCTATAAGATGACAAATACAGTTGATAAATAGGGAGGCGTGTTCACGCATCAGATGTTTGAGTAGTTCTGGGCGCAATGAATCTGAATTAATGGCTAATATTCCCCGTTCAATTAGCTAGGTTCAAAAAAAGTAATATAATATAAATAGTAGAAATAAAACCCAAATGCTTTCGGAAAAAATTTAATTAGAAGTGGAGCAGTAAAGTCCAGATTCAAATGTAAAATACAAACCTGGATCTCCATTATAGTGTTTTGGAAGATACTTTTAGCTGCAGTATAATCGGTCTTCTTGACGGTAACATTTGCCATACGGGCCAAGGCGGCGATGATGCAATCGGAGTAAAGCTTATTAATATCCTCAGAGAGCAATAGCAATATCCCAT